CAACAGAGAGGGGTTCCCAGGCAGATCTCAGTGGTTCCTCAGAGATCAAAACACTCACACCAGGGGCCAGCCCCGTGGCCTGGTGGTTGAGTTCAGTGCACTCTGCTTTGGCAGCCTGGTTTGCAGCTTCAGATCCTGGGCATAGACCTACACCACTCATTAGCCGTGCTGTGGTGGTGACCCACATACAAAATAGAGAAAGATTGGGGCTTCTGGCATCAGAGGTTAGCTCAGAGCGAATCTTCCTCACCTTGTACAAAGCTCTTTCTCTTGTGGGGTTCCATTTGACACCCAAAGGGAGTCAGGGTGGTAGCATGGACTTTGGAACCTCCTGGGGCAATTGAAACATGGGTAGGGGGTCAGGCTGGTAGAGACCTTAAGCCAGCGACTGGGAGGCCAGAGGCAGGGACTAACTCCTCTGAGCCTTGATTTCCTTCTGTAAAATGGCAATAATGCTACCACCTCATGCACTCGCTGTGCATATGCATCATCATCATCATCATCATGATTCTCAAACTGTGTGGGAGAAGAGGTTTAGGATGGTGACACTGAATACACATGGCACATACATCTTCCTGGAATTTTATTTGAGGATTTGGAAGTGGGAGTTTTATAATAAAACTTGGATTTATTATGCAGCATAATGCAAACCTTGCATATATTTAAAGAGTAAAAAGGGAGTTTTGAAAGAGATGTCATGCTTCTAGTGGGCTGCTTCTGGCTACACCCCCAGATACCTGGGGATTGGACATGTGATCACAGCCTAGTGTGCCATGTAGAGACTTCAGTAGGAAAGCAGGAGCAATGCTGTCTGATGGAGGATGAGAAGTGCCTGGCGTGCAGTAGGCGGTCAGTAAGTGGTGGCTTGGGTTATGGCAGCAGCTATGTCCTCCCAGAAAAAACAGGCTCACACAGATGAAATTCTCGCTTGGGTTCACTCAGCTAGAAAGTGACACAGCCAGGGCTAGAACCAACTCCTGACTCCCCATCCAGTGCTCTGTCACTAACCCCATACTAACTTTTCCCATCCCATGGGAAAAGGCTGTATGGTCAGCAGCCTTCCTCTGGCCACTGCCACAGTTCTCCCTCTCCCTCTTGGAACTCCCTCTGGTCAGTAAGGCTGGAGTTCTGGGTTCCAGCCCTGTGGGGGCACACGTGTGGAATTCCTCTACAAGGCGGGCACCCCTGGGAGGAGGCAGCAGACCCACAGTTTGGATGAGCAAACCTGTGTACTTCAGAGAGTAGACACAGGACTGATGAGTTCTGGGTGGGAAGAGGAAAGGTCCCGAGTGTGAGATATTCTCAGGATTGGGTGGAGGCCAGAAGCAATGGTTATGAGGCAAGAGGTACACCAACATCTACATTTCCCTCCCAGTTTCACCTAAGATGACAAGTCCTCAGCCCTGCATCCTGTTTTCAAAGCTCAAGTTTCTGGGTCCAGAACAAGAGCAAGGGTGCCCTGGGCCTTGCCAAGTGGCAAGGAGTGATAGTGCATCCAGGGATACCAAGAGGGTCTTGGGAGTCCCAAGCCATCCTTTCTCCAGACCCTGCCAGGCTGGCCTCCCTGCTCTGGGCCTTTGTAAAGGTTTGTTTCTGTGTTTGTCTGTATCCCTAAATGAGAAGAACCGATTGTCCCAAGTGAATGAATCAATAATCCAGATTTGTCCGGCTTCTGCACCATGCCAAGGAATGGGGGGGAGGGGAGCCTGTTATACTCAAGTCTCACTTACTACTCACAACAACCCAGTGAGAGTGGTTATTTCCCCATTTTATAGATGAAGAAACTGACGCCCAGAGGCTTGTTTCTCAGGCCCCAGAATCTCCTGAGGCATTGGTAGAAATGCAAATTTTTGGTCCCACCCTAGGCCTACTCAGAATTTCCCTGTGGTAATCCTGACAATCTGCATTTTTTAACAAGGTGAGAATCAGGTGATTCTCATGCTCACAAAAGTTCTAAAACCTGGACAGAGCAGTTTAGTAACGTGCCCACGCAGCTTTTGAGCGGCAGAACTGGGTTGCAAACCTGAGGTCGCCCTCTGACACTAAGTCCAGGGCTCTTTTCAGCACATTCGAGAAGCTGGATATCTGTCACCACCCTGTGCCTGTCTCAGTGTCCGCCACACAGGCTCACAATACACTTTCCTTGAGTGAATGAATGAATGAACGAATCATCGGGCCCTAGCTGCTTGCGGTGGGGTGGGGTGGGGTGGGGTGAGGCAGGGCGAGACCTTGTTCCAGCGTCTCATGCATTGCTGAGACGCTGACATGCAGACCCGGACTGTGTTGCTTTCAGAGAAGCCACTGGCAGAAGATTCGGACCATGGTGAATCTGCCTGTCATGAGCCCCTTCAAGAAGCGCTACGCCTGGGTGCAGCTGGCTGGGCACACAGGTGAGCACGGGGCAGGCGCGGGTGGGGAGGGTGGGTGCCCGGGGGAGGAAGGGACTAGGCAGCGCTAACCGGTGCCCATCTGCAGGGAGTTTCAAGGCGGCGGGCACCAGCGGGCTGATCCTGAAGCGCAGCTCGGAGCCGGAGCGCTACTGCCTGGCGCGGCTCATGGCGGACGCGCTGCGCGGCTGCGTGCCTGCCTTCCACGGCGTGGTGGAGCGCGACGGCGAGAGCTACCTGCAGCTGCAGGACCTGCTCGACGGCTTCGATGGGCCCTGCGTACTTGACTGCAAGATGGGCATCAGGTACGCGGGCCCTGCCGGGCGAGGCGGGGACCCGGCGAGAGCCCAGGGCTGGGGCGAGCACTCTACCCGTGTCCAAGGCCAAGCTCGACGGGGTCCGGGTGTGCGCCCGCTCATGCCCCGCCGCTGCCTCGCCTCCGTAGGACTTACCTGGAAGAGGAGCTGACCAAAGCCCGCGAGCGGCCCAAGCTGCGGAAGGACATGTACAAGAAGATGCTGGCAGTAGACCCTGCGGCGCCCACTGAGGAGGAGCACGCGCAGCGCGCCGTCACCAAGCCGCGCTACATGCAGTGGCGAGAAGGCATCAGCTCCAGCACCACGCTCGGCTTCCGCATCGAGGGCATCAAGGTGAGCCAGGCCCGCTTCGCTTTGCACCGCCCCGGCCCTTCCTCCACTCCAGCCCCGCCGCGCGGTGTCTGCCCTCCTGTCGACCCCCACCCCCTGAAGAGGCACCCTCTGGCAGCCGTCTCGCTGTCCCTGGCAGCCAAGGTCCCGGGAGGTACTGCTGCTCTAACCTGATCCTCTCCCCTCGGGTGGGTATGGGGTCCCTGACGCTTCCTGTCCCACCTCCTTCAGAAAGCCGATGGCTCCTGCAGCACCGACTTCAAGACCACGCGAAGCCGGGAACAGGTGATTCGCGTCTTCGAGGAGTTTGTGCAAGGGGATGCGGAAGTGCTGGTGAGCACCGGATCCTAGAACCCTGAGGTGTTGGGGAGCCTGAAACCGAGGGGTGCCCCCAGGTCATCCGGTCTAGTGCCCTTGCCTACGTGACCCCCATGGTAGCATTTATTGCACTGTTGTAATTGCTGTACGTTCCTTCCCTTCCGGGCTGCGCGCCACGTGGGGGCCTGTCTTCCTCACCACGGTATTTGTCAAGCCGAGCATGCATCGTGGCCCCTAATATTAGCAGAGGCTCAATTAGTGTTTAGTTAATTTTCGTCCTCTCCTCCCCTACCCTCTCCAGAGGAGGTATCTGAACCGCCTGCAGCAGATCCGGGACACCCTGGAGGTCTCTGAGTTTTTTAGGAGGCACGAGGTAAGAGGGGTAGGCTCAGGTGCTGAGTCTGTGGTCTCTGAGGGCTCTACAGCGGGAATAGGGTGGAAGGCTGCTCCGGGAAAGAGCCCGTAACCTGACCCTGTGGGGCTCGGCAGGTGATAGGCAGCTCGCTCCTCTTCGTGCATGATCACTGCCATCGCGCCGGTGTGTGGCTCATCGACTTCGGCAAGACCACGCCCCTCCCCGACGGCCAGACCCTGGACCACCGGCGGCCCTGGGAGGAGGGCAACCGCGAGGACGGCTATTTGCTGGGGCTGGACAATCTCATTGGCATCCTTGCCAGCCTGGCCCAGAGATGAGGCTAGGCCTCTGTCTGCGCAGACTGGCAGGTCTGACAGATGGACCTGAGGCTGCGTCCCCGAAGAGCATGAGGGCAAGAGACTGAAACCCCGCCGTGCGGGGAGGTTCACACGGTCTACCAGGGCCAGGTGCCAACCACTATGGGACGCACTGCACGCACCGGGGGCTGTCCCCCATACAAGCCCCAGTGTTCCCAGAGCTGATGACACTAATTTAAGGGGGGGGCGGGGTAGAGTGGGACAATGGGCTTCTTCCTCAGCCCAGCTCTTCTGAAGGGGTTCCATACCCCTCCAGAGAGGCCAGATAACGAATTTTACTTCGCAGGCACTAGATCTACTGGTCTAACCGCCCACACTACAATGGACTCCCCTTCCCAATAAAACAAAGACACCAGCTTTGGCAACTCAGGCCTATCCCCTCCCTCCTCTGGTCCCCTCTTTCTTTCTTTCTTTTTTTTTTTTTGCTGAGGAAGAGTTGCCCTGAGCTAACATCTGTTGCCAATCTTCCTCTTTTTTGCTGAGGAAGATTCACCCTGAGCTAACAATTGTTGCCAATCTTCCTCTATTCTGTATGTGAGCTACCACCACAGCATGCCCTCTGACCCATGCTGGGGAACCGACCCCAGACCACCCAAGTGGAGCACGGTGAACTTAACCACTAGGCCACCAGGGCCAGCCCCAAGGTCCTGTCTTTCTTAGTTCCCTTGCATCCTTCATGTCCACTCAGACCACTGGAGAAGATAAGAGCTCTTTATTAAAGGCATCTGTAGGGTTGGGGGCTGCCCAGGTGAAGGACGCTCATGGGGAAAGGGCAATCCAGAGAAGGCTTCCTGCAGGAGGCAATTTCAACGCCCCACCCAAAACCTGGGGGGGTGGGGGGGGCAGGTGGCCTCTAGTCACAAAGATCAAAGGCTGGGGTGGCCTGGGGCTGGTTACCAGGATGGAAAGTCCTGAGACAGGCCCAGACACGCAGCACAGACTGCAGGGGACAGAGGCTACTGGAAGAACAAGCCACCTAGAAGCCTGAGGAGGAGTGAAGGGAGGAGCTGTTGCTCCCATCAATGCCTGAGTCCTCACCCTCAGGGCCCCTTGGGGCCCAGGTGCCATAGGTGGGATTCCAAAGGTTCTGAAGTTGGAGGCCCCTGGTTTTGTGGGGCTTGAGGCCAGAGGGCAGCCAGGGGCCAAGAAGGCTCCCTTCCCAGCTCTTCAAGCTCTCCAGACTCAGCTCCTGGGCCTGTGGGGATCTTAGGCCCTCCAAAGACCTGCTCCCCAGCCCAGAAGCTCCTTCTTCCTCCAGAGTGGGCCCCAGCTCCATTGGCAGGGGTAAATTCAGCACATCAGGGTCCTGTAATGGGAGGGTAGGGGAGCAGGGGGCCATAGTGTTGTTTTATGTCTTCCCTGCTGACCCCCAAGACCAGGATGGTCAGGGCAGGTCAGGGGCACACCTGAGTGCAGTACTGAAGGCGCTCCAAGATGCTGGCAAAACTGGGCCGCAGCTCAGGCTGGTGCTGCCAACACTGGGTCATGATACGGTACCTGGGAGAAGGCAGGAGTTCGTGCCCACCCATGGCTGTGAAGGACCTCCTTCTCTGGGCAACACTTCATACTCACACAGGCCCTGGACAGCCCCTGGGAGGGTCCATCCGTCCCCCTCCAACGACAAAGTCCAGCACCTCCTGGTTGGTGCGCCCAGGGTAGGGCATGTAGCCCAGTGAGAAGATCTCCCAGAGCAGCACCCCAAAAGACCTGCATCACAAGTAGGGGCACCAAATGAAGCCCATCAGGCGCAGCCTCCCCTTCCTTCACATGAGGTGGCCCAAGGCAGGGGAGGAAGGAGGGCATGTTATCACCAGGAGTCTGTCTTGGATGTGAAGATGCCTTCCAGGAAGGCCTCTGGGGGCATCCACTTGACTGGCAGCAGAGCCCGGCCCCCCTTGCGGTAATAACTGGCTCTACAGGAGGGAGGAGGGGAGTGATGAGTTGTTCGAATGCCATCCGGGTGCTGATAAACTCCCCTCGAGCAGCAGCCTTCCCCACCTCCCCAGGCCCCATACCTGTAGATGTCTCTTGCCATCCCAAAGTCCCCAATCTTGGCCACTCGACTAGGCCCCGTGCAGCTCAGCAGGCAATTCCGGGCAGCAATGTCCCTGCAGAGTCAGGGGAAAAAAAATCACTACCAGAACTCAGAAGCTCCAGCCCTGATCTTTTTCCTCAAAAGTTATGTGGAAGGGCTGTTCCTTGGGGAGGGAGTTAGGCTGGGGGTCCCCTGAACCAAGATCACTCCCAACCTGTGGATGAAGTGATTTTCCTCCAGGTAGTGGCAGCCCTGGGCTATGTCCTGGGCCAGCTGGAGCAGGTCCTGCATGGCCAGAGGTGATGGCTGGCCCTGGGTTGGGCAGAGGGCGCATCAGTCCATGCAGGTTTGGGGACACATGGTCAGGGTCTTTAGAGGGGCCTGGAGAGCTGGGAGAAGGGACTCACCAGGTGCGGCCGGCTGTGCCTCAGGAAACTCTTCATGTCCCCTCCAGACATCAGCTCCAGCAGAATTAAGCGAGGGGCAGCTCGGAGGCTGAGCCCCACACAGCGCACAATGTTCTGATGGCTGAACTTGCTGAGCGAGTGGTGCACATACCCCAACACCAGCAGGGAGAGAAACCATGCTCTAGGCTCCACAAAACCGGAGGGGACCTGTGTCCCTAGACTTGCTACCTCTCAGCCCCAGGGGGAAGAGAGGCTATTCCTGCAGGCAGTTCTTGGTGCCTCCCTCCCACTTTCCACCCCTGCCCCCGGCCCAGGTGCACCTGATGATGAGTGCCTCCATGAGGAAATCCAGCTCATCCTGACGAGAGCAAAGTTCTGGCAGGGTCTGGGAGGAAAAGAGCACAGAGCTCATGAGCTCCCCTGACTCTTCAGGGAGACAGGCTGACCCTAGTGCTGGCAATTGTTCCTCCCTCCATGGAGCCCTGCTCTCCTACCCACAGCCAGAAGTCCCACCCCGTCTCACCTTGATAGCCACCTGCAGGGGGCTGGGGTCCCCAGGAAGGCCGATTACCAGTCCCTCATAGACTTCTCCAAAGGCACCATGGCCCAGGGCTCTGCAGGGAGACAGGTTGGAAGGGAGTGGGTGGCTGGGCCCCAGGAAGGGTCCTAGAGGGTCTAGGGCCTCCTTTACCTCCCTTTCCCCTCATATGCCCAGCTGGCCCTAGCTGAGGATCTGAGCTCGCTCTACACCATGGCATATCCCCAAGTACAAGCCCTGCAGGGGCGATGTTGTCTAGCACAGACCCAGGGCAGAAAGGAGGGCAGGCATGGGGTCAGAGCCGGGGTGGGAGTCTGTGGTGAGGCCTTCCCTTGGGTCCCTGCAGACATCCTGGGGTGGAGGCAACCTTTGCTCCAAAGGAATCATGTTCTAGGGTCCCTACCATCCCAGAATTGGGGATGACAGCTGACCTTGGACAAGTTACTTTCCCTTTTGGAGCTTCTCTGGCCTCCATCTCCTCTACCCAAGGAGTTTGGGCCAGATGCTCTCTAGGATCCATAATTCACCACAGCAGGGAGCAGGATGGGGGAGAGGGATTTAGAGTGCACAGGTTCTCAGAAGGAGGGGGAGGACTCACTTGATCAGAGTGACATTGGCTGGGGAAACCTCGGTAAGCCCTGGGGGCAGAAGCCAGGACTGGACCGGGCCAAGCCCCACCTGGCAGTAGTAGGGGTTTGGGGCTGTCTTGATGGTGGAGGTTCGAAGCTTGCTCAGCTCGACGAGCTCAGGGCCTGGCAGCCTTGTCCTCCACAGGCCCTGCCACTTCTGATGGTTCACTGAGGATGGGAGGGACAATGGCGTACTCTCTACCTGCCCATCAGACCTGCCCTGCCTTGCTTCCCCCTGACCAGGACTCTCTCCAGATGCCCATTAAGGTAAATGTTTTCCCCAGGTCTCCCCAGCTGCTTCTACTCTTAGAATCCCAGAAGAGTCCACCACTGCTCTTCTAGAAGTAGGGGTCTTGAAATCAGCCATGGCTGCCCCTGAGACCCCACAGAAGCCCATCACAGCTCAGTGGAGAGATGGGCAGCCTTGAATCAGCCGTGCTTGCTGGACGCTCCATACCCAGAATCAGGATCCCACACACCATAAGGAAACTCAGTGTCAAGGTCACCACCACAGCCACCATCAGAACCAGAGGGCCTTGGGGGGTGGGCAGGTCTAGGAAGAAAGAGAGACATCTCCAGTGGGAAGCTCCTCTCTATCTCTCCACCCCAAGTTTTACCCACGCCTCAAGACACAACTCAAGAGTTAACTTTTCCATGATGCTTTCCCCACCTATCCTGGACAAACACAACCTCTCCCTCCTGAGAACCCCTAAAACACTTGACACCTCCCATGGCAATTGTCCCCATGAGATAGATCTAGCTCTAGATCCAGATATCTAGATATAGATGTAGACAGGCATCTCCCCTCCCACACTAGACCATTAGCCTACATGCTCCTTGAAGGCAGAGCATGCACTGATGCATCTCCAGTCCCCCACCCAGCACCCAACACAGTGCCTGGCACATAGCAGGCATCTTTCCCCATGCCCTACTGCTCCTCCCAGCCCATGGCCCCAGGAGTCCAGACCCTGGACAAAGGCAGGACATACCCATGCAGGTGATGTTATCTGCAGCCAGCTCCATGCCCTCTGGGCACATGCATTCGGCCCACCAGACCTCTGCCTGCCACTGGCAGTCAGTGAGAAGGCAGTGACTGCAGTTGAAGTGCTGGCGGATCTCCACCTCACCATGGCTCTCTGTGACTATGAGTACAAGAACTGATGTTGCAGGGTGAGGGGGGAGCACACAGACTTTTTCCAGCTACATGGTTAATTCTAGCCCTGGACTTTGGAACAAGGAGTGGTGCCTGGCATTTAAGGGTGGGTGGGAGGGGGACTTTTGTCAAGCCTGCACACTCCCTCTTCAGGGATCCTTAAGCTCGCAGGTATTTAAAGAGAATTCATGGCAAGGAGATACTTGGCAAGTGCCCCAGAATGCTCCAAGCGACATCCAACTGACAGCCCGGGTCCCAAATGTTCCTGTGCTGTGCAAGAACAGGTAGTTCACAGTGCGGAGTTGGTGGCTCAGATGGGAGTGGGCTCAGGGATTGAGGAAAAGGGCTAGGCCAGGCTGAAAGGTCAGGGGCAGGGGCCAATACCTGCCAGAGGTTGCAGGTAGAGCTCATTGGTGGGGTGTATGTAGGACACTCCATCTTCCCCATCAGCCCAGAGGATGTCAGTCTCTGAGGCATCACCCCCTGGAAATTGAAAGTGATAGAAGGTTTGGCTACAAAATGCGGGGAGGAAGGGGCACACAGCTGCCTCACAGCTGGAAAACTGGCTTATGAACAGTGGGGAAGCTGGAGTCTCTTGGTGGAAACCCCAGTGTAGCTTCTCCACACTAGCATTACAATACAGGTGCTGCCAGCTCACAAGTGGGAGCCAAGCAGTCAGGGCGAGGGCTGGGGGGGCTATGAAATGGGAGAGGCCCAACCCACATATTCCATTTCTGTGATAATGTGTAGGAGATGATGTGTATAAAGTACTTATGAACAGCACAGCCCAGATAGACTCAAAGGCTCTGTTTCTTTACACTAGTGGTTTCCAAACTCTGGGGTGTATTAGAATCACCTAGAGGACTGATTAAAACACAGATGGTGGGACCCTCCCCTAGAGTTTCTGATTCAGTAGGTTGGAGGGCGGCTGAGAATTTGCATTTTTAACAACTTCTTAGGTGGTGCTGATGCTGACTCAGAGACCACATGAGAATTTCTTACTTAAACTATCCCTGCCTGTCTGCCTCCCTGCCCAGCTTGCCAACTCGCCCAGCTCTAAGTTCCTGGGACTGCTGCAGAACAAGGGGGGGACGTGTTGTGATGGAAGAGGTCCTGGATTTAAATAAAATCTAGAGCGTCCTGTCTGCACGTGTGATTTGCAACTTATGTGACCACCTTTTCTAAGAGCTCTCTACCTGCTCTGGCCTGGAGCGGGACTCAACGCCTTTCCCGCTAATCCTTTTGAGGGACTCCGGCCTGTTCTAAGGCTCTAACCTCACTTCACCCCAGGGCTGCCCAGCTGCCCTCCCCAACGATGCACCTACCCCGGTAGCCGCCGCCGCCTCCGCCCGCAGTGCAGGCCCCGCCGCCGCCCCCGAAGCCTCCGGCTGCGGCCCAACCCAGCGTAGCCCAGGCCTCGGCGCAGCCCCTGCCGCCCTCCGCCCCCTCCTGCAGGGAGCGGCCGGCCTGCGGAGACGGGGCCCGCGACGTCCAGCCGCCCCCTCCACCTGCGGAGAAACGGCGGGACGGCTGGTAGCGGGGTGGGGAGCAGGCCCACCTCTCCCCGTGGCCCGCGCCCTCACCTGCCGCCCCGCTCCTCCCGCTGCTCCCGGGCGCCGCCGAGCGGTCCTCCAGTTTCTCAGGGGCGGCTTGAGCCCGGCCTCGGTCCCGCCGCCTCAGGTAGGCCCGACCGCCTCCTCCGGCCGCCACCAGCAGCGGCTCCAGCTCGCCGGCGCGCAGCTACCGGCCCAGCGGCAGTCACGTGAGGACCCGGCACCGGGCGAGGGCTCCCGCCACCCGGGCTGGAGTAAGGCAAGGGGCTCCCAGCCAGCCCCCGGGATCTGGGGACCCCCAGGCCGGTACGGAGAGCTCGTGTGCGCGCGCCCGCGGGGAGAGGTTTGGGACCCCGACGCTGAGCGCTGGGGGCGCGAGTGGCCGCAGCGGGGGCGAGCACGTACCCGAAAGACGTAGGTGGCGCCCCCGCCACCCCCGCCACCTCCTGCCCAGCGCCGCGACCCTGGGACACCTTCGGTCCCATCGGTCGCCGCGTGCTCCTCAGCGGCCTGAGACTCTCCTAGGCAGACGAGCTGACTCTCCGGGCTCCCCTGCGGGCACCGCGCGCCCGAATCAGCGGACCCGGGACCCTCCCCTCGCGGGGCTGATGTCTGAACACCGAGGAGCGCGCCTCCCTCCACCCTGCCCTCGCCCTGCGGCGCCTCAGACGCCCCCTTCCCACAGGCTCCGCTTACTCCCGGACAGGCGTCCTCTCCCTGCTGCCCCACGAGGATGTAAAGCGGCTCCCCACCACGAAGGGAGCAGATGGCCGAGATGAAGACGCCATGCGCCCGCGACAGGTGGTTCTTGGCGCCTTTGCCGCCCGCGGCGCCGTAGGCGGAGATCCTGCGGAAAGCGGGCGCTGAGTCCACAGCCCTCGACCATCGGTCCTCAGGCCGCCCGCCTGGGGTAGAGGCTGGTGACAGAGGTGGCCCCAGAAGTTCTTATCTGAGGCACTTAGAGGCCGTAGTCGATTTTGAAGAGATGGAGAGACTAGGTTTGCACACCAAAAAATTACATTTTACACTTTTTTAAGGAGGCTTAATGGAGATAGGGGAGGCTCAAGCCATCCCTTGGCGCCGCCGCTAGTTTGGGGCCCTCTGCTTGGACAGGAACAGGCTCCGGGACGAGCTAACTCGGTGGCGACTATTTCGGCCCTTCCCCAGGTTCCGCTGGAAGAAGGGACAGTCAAGGTCGCCCAGTCCGCAGGTCGCTGCGGTATGCCCTAAGACGCAATGTGGTGCGCATGTGGCCTTCGTTCCTCTAACCGCAGAACCTCCGACTCCCAGCTCTCCACCCACCTCTCTCCCTGCTCCGCACTTACAGGTACTGGCCGGGGCCGGGCGACCGCCACAACTGCACTCCTCTCAAAGGCCCGGCGGCCCCCACTGTCACCACCACGCTGCTGCCAGCGTACGCCCCGTCGCACTGTGTTTGTGTGGGCCCGCGCGGACCACTGGCCCCGCAGGTGGAGAACCGCCAGGGCCCCTGGGTGCCTGGGAGCAGGGAGGGAGGAAAGGGTCATAGAGCACTTGTCCCCCCCCCCACCCCCCGGCCCAAAGGTCTGGGCGTGGTGAGCGGAGAAGGGAGAAGGAGCTCGGAGCTCACCTCGGGGAATTAGGGGAGAGGCTGGCTCCAAGCCGCTAAGCAGGGCGGTGACGTTCGGGACCCGGGGCCTTGGAGCTGGCGGCGGCAGAAGCGAAGATGGCAGAAAAGGCGCCTGGGATCCTGAGCTGGAGCAGAAAATTGTGCCTGAAAGTTGACAGGGAGAGAGCAGCGTTGGGAGAGGGAGCAGGATGTTAATGGAGGACGGGAAATAAAGCGATATATAACCTCTCGACAGCCAGCCCTTGCCTCTCGCGGCCACGCCCCTAACCCCACCTAGCCAGTGCACACCAGCGCTTGGAAGCCGGCCACAACCCAACTCTGGTCGCCGAGGCCCCGCGGGGTGCCCACTGATACCTCTGCAAGTTTCTCCCCTGGAGAGCCCTTCCCAGTGGATGACTTGGGGGCCGCACTGAGCTCAGTCCTGCAGGGCCCCCATCCTTTCCTTGACTTAGCGTGGTGGTTCCGCCCACGGGCGGTGCTGAGACCCCAGGGCCTGTCCCTCCTTCCCAAGCGTGATCCGGGTCCTCGGATTCAGGCACTCACCGCGCTTCTCAGCATGCCCTCCCGGAACACGAACCTGGGAGCTTTGGCCGCGAGGGGTGGAGGCTCTGGAGGAGCCACTGGGACTCGGTCTGTCGCGACCGCCGTCCCTAACCCTAGGAAGGTGCTTCTGGCTGGACGGTTCGCTGACTGCCAGAAGGCACTTACCTGCGGCTCCGAGCCACAGCAGCAGCCAGCCCGGGCGGCCCATCCCCTGTTCAGCCCACTGCAGCTAGGGATGCATGCTCAGATCTTGCCACTTCGGTCCAGACTGCCGCTCATAGCAGTGTACAGCCGCTCTCTAGTCACCGCCAGGTCCTAAAGCCGGCCTGGCCACACCCACCTCAGACCCTGGGATGCCAAGGAGGGAAGGGAGGGGCATGTGGGCAGCCAGGTCCCCATGCTTCCTGAACAGAGCTTGCAGCGCCTTCACCCAAGGGCTCTCTGTCTCTAGCCACTGGGTTTGCTGCTGGCTGCCCCAGGGAACGTAGTGCGTATGAGGCAGAGGAGGAAGCCACCACCACTTTTGAGGCAGAAGCGTGACAAAGTGGCACGCCATGCTCCAGACACCCTGCTGGGCTTCTAGGTCTCTCACATCAGGAGTAGGCGGGTGTGCGCTTCACTGGTGGTGGCGGCAGCGGTGGTTGTGTGTGTGTGGGGGGGGTGGTGATAACACATGGAAAGTACTTTTTAAACTGCCCCAAAGCATCATTACTTGCCATTACTTGTGTCTTTCAGTGCCTTTGTGACTGCCAGGCTGAACCTGCCGACACCCTCAGAAACATGGATCTCTGGGTTCACCTCATACAATTCTGTTGCCTGTGTTAACTGCACAACTTCTTACTGTGATGTGAAAGCCAAGTGAAGTCCTAGACCTGATGTCAGAAGCTCTGAATGCTAGTACTAGCATCCCTAGTCAACGGGTGATGGTGCACAGGTCACAACTGCTCGGAGACAATGTCCTCACCACCTGGAAAATCCTATGAAGAGAAACTCCTCTGTAACCCACAAGGCACCCTGCAACTGTGAGGGCCACTAGCTTTCAGGTGATTGTGTCTGGGGTCCTCATTCTTGTGCTCAAAATACTAATTTGAAGACTGAGGCCTGCGTTTACTATAAAACACCGGTAAAAAGAAGTTATAGTAGTTAGCTACTTGGTAAAGTCTCTGAGTATAAGTGCTAGGTGTAGACATAACAGTGATTTTGTAAAATCTCTGGTCCCCATGCCCTATTTATCTCTGTAGACACCCCACTTTGAGGTCACAGAATTTACTTTGCAAGGTCCCTGTCAGCCAATGGTTCTCAAAGTGTAGTTGGTCCTGGACAGCAGCATCACCTGGGAACTTGTTAGAAATGCAAATTCTTGGGTTTCAGCCTAAACATACTGAATTAGAAACACTCGTAGTAGAGCCCAGCAATCCATTTTAACACACTCTCCAGATGAGTTTTGTCACATGATAAGCTTGAGAACTATTGCTGTTTGCAGATATAGTAGTCGCTTAATAAAACCTATTGTATAGTTTTGTGTTCAGCAGCTCCATTTATGGGGAGTGGGTTCTCTCTACCTACTGACAGGGCACTCTGCACTCACCCTGATGACCTGTAAAAACAATGATGGTAAGTAATTCCACACAGCAAATGACACTGTAAGAAAGTTTATGTGTTAGAATTCAGACAAAACAACAACCTGGAAACTCTACCAAAAGAAAGATGAAGTGATGAACCAGAGTTTATGCTTTGACCCACTCCTCCCCAGCCTGTGCCTAACCACCAATAAAGTCCACAGTGGAAGGGGTGTTGTAGGACAGTGCTATAGACTGAATGTTTGTGTGCCCCCAAATTCATACAGTGACACCTAATCCCCAGTGTCAGGGCATCTGGAGGTGGGGCCTTCAGGAAGTGATTAGGTCAGGAGGGTTCCACTCTCATGGGTGGAATGGGATTAGCGCCCTTATAAAAACAGGCCCCCAGAGAGCTCCCATGTCCCTTCTGCCATGTGAGGGCTGTCGATGAACCAGGAAGTTGGCCCTTAGCAGACACCAAATCTGCCAGCACCTTAATCTTGGACTTCCCAGCCTCCAGAACCATGAGAAATAAATTTCTGTTGTTCATAAGCAACCCAGTCTACGGTACTGCTACCTAAACAATTAAGAGACAGCTACTGCACCAGTCTGATTTTTGGCTTCTTCACGTCCCAGGACAGCAGTTGATAGAAACAGGGGACCACAAGAAGACAAGATGCTGACCTCATTAAGCACACCTATACTTCAAGTCAACTGCAGAGAGAGTCCTTCCAGAAGTGGCCCTGTTCTCAAGAGCACTGCCCTGGTCTGGCTCCACTCTAGAACTGGGACTCACATTTTTGTTATCCCAGATGTGGACTCAATTTTCACCTCCCACTCATGATTCCTCTCCCATCTCTCTCACAGTAGTCCTGCTTCTCCCCTGGGATAACCCATCCCTCAATACCAATCCTGAACTAACACGTCTGAAATCAGTCCAAATCAGATTCCCAAGAGATAAAAAATTTTTTTATTTCAATGCATAGCTATAGCATTCATATACCATGGCCTGGGGCTGGGGAGGAGGGCGGGGATACTAAATTTGCCTTGTCCCCAAGAGGGAGTTAAGTAGCTAAGTCACCCTTCACTCCCAGCACACACCCTCAGAAGCCCCAGATCCTGAGCTCCAGATATCAGGATTTAAGGGTAGGGCTTACCCTGCTCCAGAAAAGTTCATACAGCCTGCTTCCAGGAAGGCAAGCCTTCTGCTCCTTTGTCTCCTGCCCACCCGTAGGACACAAAGCCCTTCTGTCTGGCCAGGTATCTGCTGGTGAACCCCAGGAGAATGCATCCATCTCTTCATCTGTAGTAGCTATACTAGATCTCTGATCCCCCATTTTGGAGCATCCCTGAGGTCAGTCTCTGGAGGTACTGCTGACGCAGAGCCGGCAACTGGGGATAGAGCTCAAAGCCCTCCAGGAGGGCAGAATTAGGAAGCTTATAGTGGAGGAGGTGCCGCCGGAGACCCTACAAAAAGGGAGGAAACTTCATGAATTGGGTAGTGAGATCCTGTTGAGATCTCTGTCCCCGAAGACCCTCTATTCTCCCCCCATCTAGGATGTGCCCCACCTACCTCATCTGCCAGCAGCCAAGTTTTCTGCAGCATGCTCCTGCGGGCAGCCTTTACCTCGTCCTAGAGGCAGAACAGGGACAGGTGGCACTGGGCCAAGGGCTGGTACCCATCACTGGCTTGCCTGGCCCTCACCTCCTCCCCAGAAGCAGCTCATCGCAGGCTCCCTTCCTCCTTCTGGAGATGGGGATGTAACTTACTGAGCTCTTTGGGTCCTGGGAGAAGATGAAGCTGTTGACATGGGCCACAGCCACAACATAGAGCACGGGGCACCAGCGTGGACGGAGTGCACCAGTAACCAGGGCCCGGAAGTAGAGCTGAAGGAGGGCCAAGTTGTCTTCAGGAGGCCCTGTGTAGCACTCCAGGGACACAGGCAACTGTGACAGGGGAAATGAGACATGTTGGGTGAAGGTGGGAATGCGTATCACCCGAATGCAGGGTGGGTGGCTTATGGTCACATGAACCAAGTCATGAGGGCAGAGATCAGGTCCTAGACAGACACGTGTCCCTCTCTGCCACAAGGATCAAGGTGAAAGACTAAAGAGCTGGAAAGCAGGGGAAGCTGGGAAACAGAAGAAGCTGTGAATTTTTACTGCCTACCACTACTTGTTTAATCTATGTAAAATTAAAACTTTCAAAATGTCATCTTCAACTGCTCAATTATATTGTCAAATCTTTCAAAAGTTCATGTTCTTTGGACCACTAATTCTCTTTCTAAAAATTATTATTAATTCCATGCAGAAATGATTATGAGAGAAATAGAGATAAAGTTAATGTCCAATGGTGTTTATTACAGTGCTACTTAAAATAGCAAAAAATCAGAAACAACTTCCATGCCCACCAAGCGGTTCTGATAAAATAAATTGGGGGATACCTACACAATGGATTATTATGTAATAATAAAAAATGTTGATTTATTAGAATATTAATGATGTAGGGAATGCTTATTATGTAATGTTAAATGAAGAAAACATTATGCAGTGATCCCAATTTTATAAAAATATATATGCACATAAAAAAGACTAGAAAAAGACAAATCAAAATCAAAATGGTTACCACTGGGCAGTGGCATTACGGATAACTGGAATGTTCTTTTTAATTCTTAAAAATATTTTATATTTTTAGTTTTTTATATAAAATATACACTTATATTTTATATACAAATATCGTGTATTTATATATTAAAATATTTATATTTTAAGTTTACCAGAATAAGTTATAATGAAAATAAAAAAAATAAATCTTACAAAAAAATAGTAACTCTTTACAGCTTATAAGTTTAACTCCTTAGCCTGATATTTGAGGCCCTCTAAGGCTTTATTAGTCTTGTTTCCAACAAGTTCCCAAACTGAAATCTGTTCTAGACTCCTCCCTCCTCCCACCGTCATACTCCTTTCTGCCTCTGAGCTTTTGCTTATGCTGTTCCACTAGGTACATCCTGCCCTTCCTCCTCAACAATCCAAATTCTACGCAACCTGAAAAACCCAGATCAATCCCCACTTCTACAAAGCCTTCTCCTTATGGGAGGCCCACTTTGATCTTTTCCTTCTCTGAATCCTGACTAACACCTAGAATTTGAATGATTTAGAACTATGTTGGTTTTTTAGTACATCTCTTCTTATCTAGATTATAGCAGCTCAGGAGCAAGAGCCATGTTTGTTAATAATAACAAACATCCACTATATGCCAGATACCATGTTAAACCCTTTTCATGGGGGCCAGCCCCGTGACCTAGTGGTTAAGTTCCATGCACGCCACTTTGGCAGCCCAGGTTTGGGGGTTTGGATCCCGGGCGCGGACCTACACCACTTCCCTCCCCCATCTCTCCCCATGCTGTGGCAGCAACCCACATACAAAGTAGAGGAAGACTGGCACAGATGTTAGCTCAGGGCTAATCTTCCTCAGCACAAGAAAAAAAAAACCTTTTCATGGATTCTCTTAATCTCCTCAAAGCCCCTCAGAGGTAAGATAAGGAACTGAGGTCCACCAAAGCTCCCCACAGCTTGGGACTGCCCCCAAGGTCCAGTGTGGGTGCCCATGGTAGGCTCTGCTGGGCTGAGAAAGTACCTGGGTCAGAGG